GTACCCTAATTTAGGTTATGTAAAACTTAGTGGGTGTAAGCCACACATGTACCTTCTGAAAGCAATGCCTAGGTTGCATCCCAACGGTTAGCCTGGCTGCTGGCATTGTTCTCCCTCCCACAGACCTGTTCTAGTAAAGATCTTAACAAAGAAAAATTACACACAGGGTGTGACACCTTATAAATACTATGCAATGACCTAAGGTGCCTCAAGCAATCATGGCATTCATCCAGCTGGAGTCAAAATGTAGTCTTTACAATTTAGTCACTTTTTTTTGTGTCATCAACATAGTATGCAAATATGGTGCATTGTTTGAAGTGGAAAAGAACGTGATCACAGTATTTTGAAATAGGTGGGATAATAGTAAGGGCCCTTTCACACAGCACGACCATGGCATTGGAGGTCCCTGTAACAAGATCTAAAAAGAACTGGCTTGCTTGCTCAATGAAGCAGTGGCATGTAGAGACACCTAAACAAGCTCTGACCAGCCCAGCACTGGAATCAGAAGCTATGTAGACATGTAACTTGAGCTGTGCTATGGGGCTGTGCATTGGGGAGCAGCAAAGGCAGGTGCTGCTCTGAAGGGGAAAATGAGCCATAAGCTCGGGGGGCAACTTACTGACAAGGGGTCTGTCCCACAACACCCAAAAAGGACAAGCAAGGCAGGTCAACAGTCCAGGTCACCAGACAAGGCTGTGGTGCTGGGGCACATCTGAGATGAAGCCAGGAAGCCAAGTCCATACATCAGGAGCAACAAGGCACACAGCCAGACACAAGTGTGGTTGCAACCTATCTCAGACAGGGACCAAGCACAAGAGCCTCAGCTCCTAAGAGGTGATGGCAGGGTGGGAAGCACCTGGCTTCCTCCAGCTTTTTGTTGAATGGCTGCAAGACTGGCAGGCATTGAGGCCAGAAGCTGCTGGAGGCCAGAAATGCCTCTAAGGTAGGTGTCTTCATTATTTAAGTTACCTAATTAAGCAGCCAAGCCTCCAGGAGAGAGGGGAATGCCTTGAGGGCACTGACACTATCCCAGATGACTTGGCTAAGAAGTGGTGGTGTGCTCTTCCATGTTGATATACCAGGATGTTTTATTATGGTGGAACTGCAGCAGCTATTGTGGTGGACTTGAAGTCCCCCAAAAATTGAATCAGCACCTGCTCCACTGAATGATGGAGGAAGATCCCAAAGAAGAAAAAGCACTAGCTACGTTGTCGTCTTTGCTCTGTGTAGATTACCGTCCTTTGTTCAGAGTCCTACTGGGTGCAGTTCCATGATTTTGTCCTAAGTAATGTCAGCTCTTATCAAAGATTACTATGTTTGAAAAAACCCCAAGAATACTGGTTGACTGTATACTACCATCTGTGCTACTCAGGATTGCTAGCAATGCACCTACTGCAGCACATGAAGCAAGAGCTGGAGAGTGCAAGATACCTGCAGAAGATGTACCTGGTACAGCGTGTTTTAGCAGGACTGAGAGTTGCTGTTGAGAGGGAGGTATAGCTGTTGGGAAAGGACAAAGTTCCCGTGACTGCACTTCCCATTTTTCATTGCTTCAGCGGAGCACTGCATAACTATATGTGTACACATTACAGACCATGTGGAACAATCTTTCAGAAAACCAGCAAGAAAGTTTGACTGCGACTTGGAAGATCTAGATTTCAGTACCAGCAACCAGTGAGAAACCAAATATTTGGCGCAAGTCTTTAAACTCTGACTCAATTCTCATTCTGAACAAGGGAAGACCTATAATATGTGCTTTTATGAAAGTGCTTTGACCTTCTCACATGATAGGCAATGTTATCATTCTCAGATTCTGTATTAAGTAATGATCTCTGGATAGACAACAGGGCAAAATATAAAAGCACACCAAACAGCCAGAAGCACAGGGAATTGTACGTACCTACCACAAACTCCTGCTTGCACTGGTTGGAAAAAACAAACCAGAACCACAGCACAGCAAGTCCTCCAGGTATTCAGTACTGTTCAGTTCTATGGTTTAGCGGACCTACCTTTTTCTTGCTGTGCATGCTAACTTTGTCTCTTCCCACATTTCAGGCTAACCTCTCTCCAGACTGCTGCATCAATGTCATTCACTAGCATATTCAGACTGCACACTTTGCTGCCTTTGTCATGCGCCTTTGGAAGCCTAGGTTGCGCATACAAGTGAACTCCTTCCTTCCTTCTTCACTGCTTTTTCTTTTCTTCAAAAACTAAGCACCACTCCTGAAGATTTTTATCTGTAGAAGTGAGATGGAGAAAATGTTGATTATTTCAATTTGGATTTTCCAGGAGTGGTTCATTCGGGATTCCTGCTGAGGACCAGTGTACGGATTAGCAGGATTTTATCTTTTTTTTTAGAACATTCTCTGAATCTGAAATTGCTGTTCTATGGAAGACAGTATGTGATGAATGACAATTTCTGGTAGTCAGAGAACAGGAGATCTAATTTTACACATCCTTAAGGATGGTTAGCTACAGAACGTAGCTGGAGAAGGATGCAAGTATCGGGGACTAGCTCCGGGCTCTATTACTTCTTTCTCATACTTCTGAAGGGAGAAGCCCACAGATCTTCCGAAGTTGGGAACGGGGTAAGTACCATTACCTTCCTTCACACTCTTCCACTTTGGCTTCTTGAACTGGAGAGGCACAGGATGGTGAAAAGACATACTGAAGAAACATACCATGTACCTGCTTCAGCGTAAGCAGCAGAAGGACATCAGCTATTTTGTTCATGTTCAGACTTTGGACTGGTGGACAGCACAATCCCTCACTTTGCCAGGCATTTACATATTTAACAGAATCGTATTAATTTGCATATGTACAAATAGAAGATGCATTTGTACCCGCAGAAAGTTTCACTCCCTGGTACAATGAAACAGTTACACCTATATAGTCACAAAAGCAAAATGTTGCCTTTTGCCACATTCTGAGAACAGTGACTTTAGTCCTCATCCAAATGCACTTATTTCTGGCATTACACAAATTCTCCATAAAAGTTTTTGGACTAGAAGTAGTCCTCCACTTACACTGGAGGAGAAGCAAAACATCACAACAAGGAATGCATTCCTGGAACCATGTGGAATGTACTTCACCTTGGTCAACATACACAGATGCAGGTCCCAAGATCACAGGTGGATCCTTAGCATGTTTAGAAGAGTCTGAGGACTAAGAGTTTTTATTAATAGCCACTGTAGATGGTACTGTACTTTCAGGGAAAGTCTCATCTTACACATTCTGAACTGTGACCTCACCAATTATATGTTTCTGTTTTTAAATGTCAAAAAATGTGCAAACATAGATGTAGGCATAGATTATTATTATATTTATTACTCTTGTTAAAAAGTCAGCATATGAATTATGGCACTATGCTGTAAAAATGCAACACTACTGAGTGCTCTAACAGTATAAGGTCCATTATGACAAGGTTTTAAACATGAAGCATGAGCTTCAATATGATTTCCAAATAAAAAGCCAAGCCTAAGAGGTAAATAGGTTACTAACAAATGATTTATCTGGAATTTCCATACTAAGTGAATACAGAGTGGATTTGCAAGAACAGACATATTTAAGACACAACAGAGTCAAACAAAGCTTCTAGAAATTGAAGACTAAATTATCTTTTTCCTTTTTGACTTAGAGGTATTTGTTCTGCACAGTAGATGAATGTTACAGGTCTGCTATTAAACTACAACCACAATGTGGCAGGCAGATTTGCATGAGAAAAGGAAAAAGTAAACCAAAACCTTTTCTACGTTGCCAGTCAGAAAAAACTGTGTACTTTGAAATTTTAAAAATAAAGACAGCAATTTCAGGGGAAAAAAAAAAAAAGAAAAAACAAAAAGAAAAAAGAAAACCAAACCCCCCCCACATCTCCTGAATGAATCTCCACCACAACAAAACACAGATACCTATTACCTTTATGCTTGGGGACCAGAAAAAACTATGACACTATTCCTAATTCTGAAGCAAACCCAAACAAATGGATATCCATGGATATTATTGCACTTACAGCAGTGGTGCTTTAACTGGCCTGAAAACTACTTTTATTGTATTAAGTGAGATATATTTGTTTTTACTTGTGTAATCTTACTTGAAAGATGCATTGTAGAAAGAATGCCGTACCCTTTATAAAACAGTTTAAACATATCTGGCACAACATGAAGCTCTTGAAATGCCTCCACTACTTCAGAAAGTCTTAAAGAATACCACTTCTCAAAGGATGGGTGGGCACAGAGTACGAAATAAAGGGAAAAAAACATGACAGTGGGCGTTAGTTTCCCAGGAAAATGTTGTCCTACATCACATAGCAGATCAGAAATAAATAAGATGAAACTTGTAGAGTATGAATATAAATCCTTGGATGATGTTGCAAAAGTCACAGGCTTCACCAAAGTAATGTCAGTGTATTTTTTTAAGCATAATGCAGTTACTATATACAGTATGCTTATCAGATAATGCCAACTAACAATGTACTAAATTAATGGTTGTTAAACAAAAGGTGTACTTATAAAAACAGATGGCAGCCCCCCAGTTCTGCATAGTTACATATGATGAAGTCCAGCTCTCTGGAGTCCAATGGATTGGCACCTTCAAGCATCAGGAAGCAGTTTTCTGAAGCGTAAACAACATAATTAACAGAACCCAGTCAACCTGTAGGGGAATTCCTCTGTCAAAAATATCTCCAGTCCGATCACAAAACTCTCTGTAAATGCTACCGCTGCATAGCTGCAATGGAGCAGTCATTCATTCAAAGACTTTACATTGCCATATTTCTTCAATGGGCCTTCTAAACGATGTGCATTTAACAATGGTGGTGATCTGGACACAAACAAATCTGTGACAAACACAAAGCACTTAGGCTTAAAAGCACTTACGTAAAAATCCATAACATCTTTACAGTGTACTGTGTATGACTGCACATGCTATTAAGTCTCACCTGTTTATTATTATGTGGCATCTTACTGTATTTCTGCATACTAAGAGCAAGCCTTCTCTGTGAGAAACTGGCTTCTCTGATACAGGAAGCCACCATGCCTGTACCTTGCTTTGCTACAGTAAGGCATGTACAATGAAAGTAATAATACCAAATCCCCACAGATCATGACAGAAAGAGCCAGTTCTTCCCTTTGTTTCTTGCTCAGCTTCTCTGCTCCATTACTACTGTGAACATCAGTCAGCAACCATGTGTTCCTGTCTAGTAAGTAGAGGCTTCACATCTGTATCACCAATCTTCCTTTGCATCTCTTCCACTGTTTTCAGCAAAGCTGCTCGCTCCTGCTCAAGAGCGAGAATGGACTGCTTCAGTTTGCCTTCATTGGTCAATAAAAGTTCTACTGTGGCTTCAAGGTTTTGGATCTTTCCATTAGCCACCTTTCAAAGTAAAAAGAAAGGTGGAGGAAGAGGAAGGAAGGGAAGGGAAAAAAAAAAAAAAAAAAAGAGGGAAATTCATTAATAACTGAAACCAACTTTCAACTATTTTTTGAGATACATTAATATATATAATTTCCAAATGAAAAATTGCAACAGTAAATTCAGGTATGAGTGTAATTAAATCTGTGTACTTTAGACTACAAATATGGTTTTGCCTGCAACAAGAAACTTCCCTCTTTCAACTTGATTGCTTTGATTAGCTCACAGTTAGAATATAATGCAAAGTAATAAAATCAGAACGTTACTGAGTCTCCAAGTTATATACTAAAGAACTGCAGGCTAAGATAAGCTTCTGTGTGTGTTTCTTGGGAGACCTTTTTGGCCAGCCATGTTTGTCGAGTTACACATGCTTTGCAAAGCAAAGACAACCCATCTCAACATTTAGTCCAACAAATGCCAGATTTGGAGGTGAAGAGGAAGGAGTAGATTTAGAGCAATATGCGAACAGAAAATACATCTTGAAAAATTCCAAAAATTCTCCTTCAAAAGGCTGCACTTCATGGCAAATCAAAGTATTAGCTCATCCAATCTCATCAGGTGAGATTTGCAGCTGAGCTACTTTGACAAAAGCAGATCTGATTAGAAATTTCAGCACTGGATAACATTTGGAGACAAAAGCACTGGGGTGGTCCTGGCCTTCAGGGAAGTATTTGCCCTTCTGATGAGCTCACTGCCCTTTGTGTACTTGTGGTAGGTTTACAAGTTCAACCTTTGGGGGAAGAACATTGACAAACCACGGTACACATTGTTTGGTGATGCATTTTCTTCCCATCAGCAACGGGTGACCTTTCACCATAGGAAACAAAGGCTAATGAAGCCTCACCTCCAAGACAAAGGGATTGTTCCAACACTACAGTTAAGTTCCCTGCTATGATATTGGGTGTTGACTTGGCAGCACTCAGGTGGAGATGAGCTTTGTAAGTAACTATGTAGGGCTGCAAAGGTCTTTAGGGGCAGGAGAGGGTAGAAGATCCCCTGATGTAGGTATCTATTGGACATCACATCTCAAATCTCATCCCAGAAATTCCTCTCCCCCATGCTACCTTCAACAATTTCCTTGCCCATGTGCCTGGCAAGATACCAAAATATCTTGCAGAGGAGCATCTCTTCTCCTGACTTCTCTAAGGCTTATCTTAGTACCCAAAACAGATTCAGATCTCACAGGATCAGAATTTACAGCTTAAGCAAGTTTTTGTGAGGAGAGGTAAGTTGGCTAGCTTTAGTCATGATACTGGACCAATGGCCGAGAAACCCAAACTCCCTCCCCTCCGCTATTATCTTACAAAGTCTACATCTTTAACAATAATCAAGAGGCTTGAAATGTCTGCTTCTTAGTCTTGATGTGCCTTTCTTCATCAAAAGAAACGCATGGTCAAAAGTTTTATAACAAACATCCTGTTATAAAGCAGCCAAAAAGCTGACTTCTTAAACAGTTAAGCAAAGACTAACCCCTAGAGAGACCAGGTGTCCTGCCTCTGAAAAAGCTGAAGACTGATCAGGCACCAAGCATGTATTTGAAATTACTATTTCACATACTGTCTAAACAATTTCACATACTGTCTAAACAATCCAGGCAACAGTTTAAAAAGAAAACAAAAATCTTTTAAGAAGGAGCATGTCTTTGTAGACGATGTATCCCATATCTGATGTATCTCTAAGCTGTGACACTGGCATCAGCTTTCCCATCTAGTATCCCCGCTGCAATAAAGCAGTGACTGAAAATGTAAAAATGAAGTTAAAGCACTGTGTATTTTTAGTCATCTTCTACAGCTATGATTTTAATTTCAAGAAAAGAGACAGTGTGATGAATTAACTTTTCACTAATTTTAAGCATATGCTCTATCCACCCTTCTCAACTTCTTCTGCATTTAAACTTTAAAGACTAAATTAAATAAAATTGCTAGTGGCTATGCTTTAAAGTCAACAGACCAACCACCAGGCTCTGCTGTGCCTTGGTGTAGCCCAATCTCTTCTAAAAAGGTGGAAAAATTAGAATGTTAATTAATTATGAAACATAAATGGTACCTGCAGTTCTTCCAGGAGACCAAAGTTTTGTTTGCGCAAGCTACTGTTTGCCTTTTCTAATTTATCCAGTCTTTGATTGTCATTTAAAGAAGAATCTATAAGCTCATCCTGAAGCACATGATATTCAACTTCATAAGCTTGCAACTGCTTGGCAATATCCATTTCAAACACCTGTTGTATACAAAAATAATATTAGGTGCTGTGCAGATCAAAATCATAGCTCATTCAATGCTTTGAAATCCATGGATCTAGACTTAGATCATCACTGTGTACAAAAAAAAGACTCTATTTTTGTCATTCACGTGGCAAGACTGAAGCAGTAGAGAGCAATATATTGGAATTGGATCTACTTAAAAACTTTGCTAAAAACGTAATTTAAACTTAATACATCTCAGTTTGGCATAAACCTTCCTAGGCATCCTCAGAATCAGATGTCACTTTAGAAAACTATGGTCCATGCCCATGTGCCACATGGACGGTGTAAGGCTAAGTAGAATGAAAGTTTTAAAGGAGAAACAGTAAACACTGATAGGTTTATTTATAATTCTACAGTAGTCCTAGAGACTGAAAGTAAATGAACTCATCTGTCCTTACACTAACAGATGTAACAGACACATTATGTCAAAGTAGATTTCTATTATTGTTAACTAAGAATCACCAAAATGAGAGCTCAGTCTTATACATGCATATTAAGAAAACCTTTTATTTTAAAAGGAGACAGATAAATTGAGTTGCAGAGTGATCCAAACGAAAAAAACTGCTGTTGTATTTTCCTTTTTCTAGGTTTTGATGAACATCTGCCTTCAAATTATTAAGGAAATACAACTCTAATGTCCCTGTGCCAGTTATCTCTTCTGAGAGCAGTGAAGAAGGTGGTAAATTAAAAGGCCAACTGTGCTAATCAGAGAACATAGTAGGAATTAAAGTTGATTTAAAAACGTGTCTGGAAAATAGCCCAAAATTACAAGTTCAATACAAGTTACTCATTATTTTTAAACCTCTTGTACTTCATTCATTTTGGAAATGAGTGGAATACCAAATCCTATCTTAAATACCTCTTGAAATAACAATAGTTATTATCTATTTTATCTGCTTTGTCTACAAAGCTTTGTTGGCTAAAGAAAATATCGGTTTATGAACTGTTTCTGACACCTGCTACATACGCTGTAAAAAATTTACCTCATAGTTGTATAGCAGCAGAAACACACATACTGAGATCTAAGTACACAAGGCTGAAACACAATTTTGAGTTTGGTTAAACGTATGGATTTTTCATTTTCTGTAGGTCTGAGCATCTCTGCAGAACACACACTGATGAAACTTCAGTAAAACAAACGGTGCAATTCAGCAGGGCAGAATGCTAGCTCTTCTCATGACCTCTGCCACTTCTAGCCTCTGTGCTCTTGAGAAGGGAGGGAAATCCCTGCTGTCATACCCAAAGTATCAAATCTGAAAGGGGGAAACATGATGCAAATCAGAAGCTTGGCGTAAAAACTAACTAACTGAAGGCATGTTAGGGCATGTAAACCAGAGACCACGCTGCAGAAGGCGTAAGGAGAATGGGGATTAGCCCAGGAGCTGTGTACGGACTGCTGGGCTGGTCAGACAATGGCTCTCTTCTGATGAGAAGAGGAACTGCCCTCCCGTCAACTCACTGCCCACTTTAAGTTTACAGAGCTGCCTAAACAGAGTATCTCTCCCTCCTTCTGCTCAAAGCCAGTGGTTTTCTGCAGGTTGACTGCCTAAGTACTGCAAGTCTCTGCAGAGCTGTGGGCTCCAGGCTTTCACCTGGCAGATACCACACAATGCCCTTTGGTCCCTAAATCACTTGCTTTCCCTCCCCTTGCACAGGCTTTCTAGCTAATTGACAATGAGCACTAGAAACAATTTTCATGACCCTAATTCAAGTGCATGTCCCATGGAATCTTTGCTGCCAGGGATCAGAATGGAGCCCCTCACAAGCATTCTGCAATGTACTGCACTGCTGCCCACTTTCTTTATCAAGCCACACGCTTTGCAGATCTCCTGCAGCCTCTGGTGAGTGGCAGGCATTTGCAGTTCTGCACAGTACCCCCCTCCGTGTTTTAGACCACAAAAGGCCTTCCAAAAAACAAACCCCATCATCTCTTTGTCTGCAGCAAATTAGATGTCACGTGTAACAGTTTAGGTTTCTAAAAATGTAAGTCTTCACTGCAATAATCTGTGATTTCCTCAAATTCCATAGTTATCTTCTGGATTCTCCTGACAGGTTAGCAATACTGTATCAGCTTGTCTGTCATTTAAAAATAGTATAGCAAGGATTCCCAGTTTTTGCTATCTAGAGTCATTGCTGTCTGCAAGAGACTGCACTACCCCACGTTCTCCTGGCAGGAATACAAAGGCACTGTTGTAACATACTGAACCAGAACCATAAAAGCCAGTATAGACAAAGTCCCCGTAGGGAGGGACTTCTAATTTCACCAAATAAGATCAACATTTGTGAAGCTCTTGTAAGTCAGCTTTTGCTTCTGAAATGAGACTTGAAGAGCAAGGCTCTTTGGAGACAGGAAAACTCAGAAGGCTTTTAGGCAACCTTGCTGCTGTTTTTGTGGAACACGCAGTGCATGGGTTGCAATATTGCTGCCAGTAACAGAGTTGCACACTTCAAAAAAAAAAGTAATCTCATTTTCACTAAAGGCTTCATCAAGTGACCATAACCACCATGTAGACAGATGTATGAATACAGAAGTAGTATATAAGCCATATACTTCCAAAAGTTTTCAATCTTCAGAACTACAATAACAGGATTCTCTGCTCGAAGTAACACAAGACACTTGAGGTTTTTCTGTCAAGAGCTTGTTAAAAAGAGCATCCTTTTGCATACTTCTTACATGTTCTGATTTTTTCATACCTGACTAATGGTCTTTTCCATCTGTACCAAACCCAAGTTGGGGAGAGTGTTTTTAATAAAATCAACAATAGTTTCTAGGTTCTCATGCTGCAGAATCAAGGGCTTGTGGCTTCCCAAAAGGCTTAAAGCCACTTTAAATATAGCCTCTGATCCTTGAAGAAAGAGCATATCTGTGAAAACAAAGAAAAAACAGAGTACATCAAGCAAACACATCTTTTGACAAGAATATTAAAACAGTAAAATGTCCAAAGACAACAACTTCTCATAGGATGGCCTGGAGGCTAGATACTGTGCCAGACATGTGGTTTTATTACTGTGTCTATGGCATTAGAAATTTTTAGGGTCAAGATTATTACCGTGAATAGCAAACTTCAATTTGTTTAGCAAGTTTTCATCAAAAAAATCCAGTTCAAATTTAAGCTAATTACACCAGGTTTGCCAGTGTTACCATATTTTGTGCATGTAACTTCTTTTGAGATATTCACAGGAATATGAATTTGAAGAGATTCTAATCCCACCACCATTTAGAAATCCTAATACAACAGGCAAAAAACTACACCTGAAGACACAACCGAAAATCTGAAGTTCTGTTCTTTTCTGGTGGAGAAAGCTACAAAACCTCAGTGTTGTGGTTGATACAACACTGAGCAGATAAAGCTAAATGCACACCTAGCAGCGTCAAGTTTCTGTGCTTATTTTTAGTATGTGTCTCAGCCACCTAAATTAATATTCTAAAAATTACATTAATAAGTATCCTGCAATCTTAGTAATACAAATTCAGTGTTAATATTGCCTGTGGCCCTGCAAGGACAGCACCTGACATACATAAAAGCACACTGAAACTACAGTATATAGTGACCTTTCAATGTAACATCCTTTCCTTTCTTTTCCTTTACAAATGGCCCGTGTCTTCATAGAGGTAAGAAACAGAACACTGTAATGAAAGCATCAGGCAAGAAACACATCTGCACAAACCCATCTGTCCACAGTATAATCAGCACTGCCCTGCATTTGACTCTCCTGCTATTATAATACAGAATCTGCTCCGGTTTTTTCCTGATGGACCCACTGCAGGTAAAAGCATCTAACATATGAAACAATACTGATGGAGGTAGAAAAAGGAAGAGAAGATACTATGGGTTCATTCTGTATTTCCTAAATGTATTTTTATTTTTAAAGGGCTTTTCTTTTGCTCTTTATTGAAGCTGTGAAAGAAGTCACAATTACTTATGAAATAATACAATGACATCAAATAAATAATGTGTCCTAATGATTAAAAAATAGAAGAACAAAGAGAGACTGAAAAAAGAGAAAAAACCTCCGCCATACAGTAAGGGAAAAAACTACTAGCAAAACCACAAGTGTATATGATGTAGTAAAGAACCATCTGAAAACACTGGCTAACTGCCTTCTTACTGGAAGGACAGTAAGAGCAATTCTCTTCTCAAGTTTGTATCAGAATGAAATTTCCCTGTGTGCTCTTTCGCTTGTAATGTTGAAGCCATAACTCATTTCACTTCTCTCTCTTTCTCTCTCAGAAAGAAAAGCAAAAGTAATAACTAACCATAAATCTTGCACTTTGCCACCATTTGTCCTAAAAGTGGTGTAAAATTTTTCAACTCTGATTCAATGAGAAATCCAAAGTCAGGAATGAGAAGTGGTAACAGAGCAGGCATCTGCCTCAATATTTTATTGAAACTGAAAGCTATGGGAAAATGCTTTATAGGGAAAGCTTTGTATTAAGACAGGAAACAGTAAAGAACATCTAGGAAATACAAAGTGAAAAAAACAGAGCTGAAAATAACACACTTTTGATTCAGCACCTGACTCAGAAAGTCACATAGATTAACTCAAGGTGACCTATAAGTTGTTAATGAATGTCTGTATGAGCTGAGCTGGTAATATAGAGCTGAAATCCCTCTCTCATTTAAAATAGCAAAGACTTAACAAAGACCTGCTTGTTATCCGCTCCCCATGCTTCCTGTTAAGCGGGCTTCCAGCCAACGACAGTAAAGTGAGGTACGCAAATCAATGTCAGCATAACTGGCAGCCTCCGGGAGTAAAAGCCCCCAAGTTTTACGTTCAATCTCGAAATAAAATAAACACTATTCTACCAAGTCCGCTCCATTAATAAGTAAATAGGAATATTATAGAACACATCTTTGTTAATGCTGCGTTTTCATTAGATCCAGCTTAGGAAATGTATTGAAAGTTTGGATAGATAATTAAAAATTTCTTTTAAGTTTTACTATTGGACTCATAAAACAGTCTTTGGGTTAACCTCTTTCTGGTCCATTTCTTTTACATATTGCTTTGTAAGATGTCTGCAGAAGCTATTCTCTATGAAAATCTAAAGGAAGTGGTCTGTAACAATTATTAAGTAGCAGTGGGGCTTCAAATATCAAGAGTTTACATATACCGTGTTAGAAAATGGCAGAGCAATCTTACAGCCTTAGTAAACTACAGATGAGCTACTTCAACATTAAAAGGCAACGTTCTTTCATCCCAAGGGTTCTAATAAGTGAGCAACAAAAATGTATGTATGTTCTGCAAAAGTGTGTGAACACATGGGTCAGAACTGATTGGATCCCAACTTGTCATGCTGCTAACGACAGCTGCTAGCAAACTGACAGCTCTAGCCTTTTTTAGGTTTATAGTTGCGTTTCAGTCTTAGCATGGGTGAAAATATTTTTAAGAGGTGACAGTTTCAGTCACACATGCTTTTCTGTTTCTGACCTAAAATCAGTCCTGTGAAGATCATGTATCTATGCCTTCTATTCTAATGTAAAATCTTTGCTTTCTAAAGCCATACAATCCTCCACTGACAGATAAAATACTAATCTGTCTATTAAGGCAGAAATCCAAATATACTGGGTACACAAGGCATTTAATACCTCCACTGCAGTCAATTGTTCAGTTCAAAGACTGTTATCATGTACAATACTATGAATGAGAAGAATTGAAGGATGGACTGATTATAAACTCAGTATATGACACTTGCATACAGCACTTGATTTAATTCCTACAGATTATTAATGTCAACTAGATAGTTATTGATGTGCTTTAGCCTACTTCAAACTGTTCCAGGGGAGGGGGAAAAAAAAAAAAAAAATAAGAAGTACTCTTTTCCCTGGAGTTAAGATGCTAACCACGGACACATAGATCTGCTTAGCTGTATACCATCCTTTTCACCATGATCTCTTACAGCACTCCTTTTGGCACATCCTTAAACAGAAACAGGAAAGGATTCTTGTTGGTGGTTCTTGGAATCTATAATTCATTATTTGTTACTGTGGTAGATGAGACTATATTTAGTATCTTCTCAAATACCAAACAATTAATCTATGAAATCTATATCCACGACATAGCATCAAGGTAAATTCTTAATTGGAATTTAATTTAAAAAGAAAAAAAAAAAAAGAAAAAAGAGAGAGAGAGAACTGAACTTTAGAGTCTAAACTTATGCTTCTAAATATTTCTGGAAAGTGAGATTATCAGTCAGGCTAAACTTGTAAAATTGTAAGGATAAGAAACACTAGTTTAAAAGACTATGTTTCTGCAGAGTAAATCCATGATTAAACTGCAAGCACCCCCTCTGTATGGGTTTACAGACATAACCCTCAATATAATTTTCCACTGACACTGTTGGAGACAAAGATAATAGAATAAATGGATATATTTCTCAGATGATACCTTCGTTACATCTCTTTTCAGCTTAAAACTAACTAATTGTGGTACTGCAGTGCCACTGTCGTAACACCATGCCTTCATGGCATCAAAGTTTACATCTCCCCTAAAGTGGTAACAGGGTGGGAAAAAGTAACAATGAGGATGGAAAGACAGGACGGTTTGGAACTGACATATGCTTTCTTCCTCTTTCCATTTTACTGTAAACATTACATGCTCCAAAAGATGACCTCTGTTGTTCTTCTGTTCATCAATAGTAAGTAAAATATTTCTCCTGGCTGTCTGAAACAGGTTGGATAATAACACTGTTCCTAGTAACAGGATTCCAAATACAAAACTTCAAAAAGAATAGATAGAGGGGTTTATGAAGACTTACCAAACACTCTAGCTACAAATCCAAGGGGAAACTGGGAGGCAAACATAGTGAGAAACCAGGGAGCAGCATAGAGGCTGGGGCCAATCTCATGTTCCTCTAGGTGGTTATAGAGATCTCGATGGTAGTCATGAAGAAGTCGAGACAGTTGATACATCTGGATCTACATGGAATAAGAACAAAAAGACTAAAGATACACACATTTTAACACTCCGAGTAGCAAAGTCTGTGTTTCATACAGCAAATGAAAACAGTGAATGGTATTTGTCAATTATGTTTGGATTGAATTGCGCAAAGAAAAGAAATACTCAGAAGCCAGCTAAAAGACCCAGAATGGGTCACGTGTGAGCCTATGACATGCTCATTTGCAGGGTCATTTGAACCTCATACAACACGTAAAAGAATTCTTCCTATTTATGGTTTTCACAATTTGCCTGGTAGTCTTTTTATTTGAAACTAGTGCATTTACCATCATGCACTCTTTTCATGGATTAGCCTTCCACATTTCTGAGAAGTGAATTTAAGTTCAAATCCAGATTTTGACAATCCTATCTGTACTGCATTATTTTGGTTTAACATTAGCATCCCTTCATTAGAAGAATGTAAATCATACCTGTAAAATTGTCATGTCAGGACGATATTGTTTCCTCAGGCCCACATCAAACATGAGAAACTTCAGCATTTTAAAAGCATCTTCTTCACTCATATGAAGTAACAGGACTCCTGCTACAAAACTAAGGCCCTGGCAATATCCTACTTCCTGGTCCAGAAGTGAATAGGCCTTCAAAATATTGTAGAGTGACAGCTGCCCAGCTCCCAGCTGTGCTGAGAAGTATGGATGTGTTGGAAATGTGCGCCCTGTGAAAACAGCCAAAGGTAGCAACTTAAACTAAAAAATAAAAATAATGATAATGGAAAAACACCCCACCCTCTCCCCACAAAACCAAACCACCATCACCAAAGAAACCCAACCACCCCCCCCCCCCCCCCAAAAAAACAACGAAAAAACCCTTGCCATGTTATCAAATTGAACAGTCTTTCAAAAAGGTAGATTCTCCTGAAAGGCAGATTATGAAATCAACCCACAGGAAGACTGTAAGTTAACAATACAAAACAACCGACTCTTACACTTTACCACCGTTTTGTTACAGTAGTTGCAAAACTAACTTAAAAATTGTCAGGGGGTGGGGACAGTCTGTTGTTTGGAACAGCTGAGTAATTGGTTCTTAAGGCTGGCCCTTGATCAGTTTGTTAAAAGGCTTACAAGGTTGCTTACAATAGTGAGAGACTCAATTCAGTGGCTTGACGAGTCACCTTGTCCTCTTGATTAAAGGGTTACCTTTTAAACAACTATTAGGATCCAGGCACAGACTTAGAACACTTCAGCTTTCTAAGCTGGGGCCTCTTCCCTTTCTTTTTTCTTTTTGTCTTTTTTTCCCCAGTAAATGTGTCTTTTGCCCCCACCCTCCTTGGCTCTGTCCCTCCCAGTCTTATGGGTCCTTCCCTTTTTCCTGCAGCTCAGACTCTTCCATGAACTCATCCAGTTCACTAACCTGGCAGAAAAAGCCCCTTCTACATGGGGCTAGTTGCCAGTACGTGCTATTAGCCACCCACATGGAAAGCAGCTTTTGCAGAAAATTAACTTGGTGGTCACCGAGTTGAATATCAGCCCTTGCAGCAAAGGCTAATGATTATCCTGGGCTGCATTAGGAGGAACATTACCAGCAGGTCAAGGGAGGTGATCATTCCCCTCTATTCAACACTGTGAGGCCACACCTGGAGTGCTGTATCCAGTCCTGGGCTCCCCAGTGCAAGACAGACATAGACATACTGGAGAAAATCCAGCAAAGAGTCACTAAGATGATGGAGCGACTGGAGCATCTCTCCTATGAAAAAAGGCCAAGACACCTGGGACTATTCAGCATGGAAAATAAAAGGCTCAAGGGGATCAATGTGCACAAATAACCAACAGGAGGGAATGAAAAAGAGGGAGTCAGGCTCTTCTCAGTAGTGCCCAGTGACAGGACAAGAGGCACTGGACACAAAGCAAAATACAGGAAATTCCACCTAACATAAGGAAAAAATGTTGGTTGGGTTTTTTGGGGTTTTGTTGTTGGTTTTTTTTTTTTTATTGTAAAGGTGGCCAGACATCAGCACAGGCTGTACAGAGAGGCTGTAAAGTCTCCACCTATGGACACATTCAAAACCTGAGTGAGCATGGTCTTGGGCAACCTGCTTTAGATGACCTCACTTTGAGCAGGGACTAGATGATCTCAAGAGCTCCCTTCCAACCTCAACCACCTGGTGATTCTGGGAACAGAGACATCAAAGGCTTCACTTTTACAGATTTTCGTTTTTTCAAAAACTTTTTCAAAAGGCAGCATTTAAATTTCGGGGGGGGGGGGGGGGGGG